TATACACATCTAGATTCTATTTAACCTTACACGTGTAAAATGTTTTAATTTAAACCAAAAAGAAATAACATTAGGCCTATATACTAGCATTTATTTGTGTATTAATTTGTTTTTTAATTCTCATGCAACAATTAGAAAACGTCTCTTACAGAATGAAACCGAACTTTTTGTGCACCGAATTCAACACTTGTACTTGTACTATAAGTGAATATTAAACAAAAAAAATAACGTGAACCAAGAGAAATTGAAGAAAAAGTACAACACGTAGAACAACACTGAGTTGTGTTCAAGTGACAATTTTGTTTTTCGCGCGTCTTTACACTGCAGCTTTCTCATTGGTTCATATGTGCGCTTATTGCGGAACATGATTCCTGATGATGACACAATTAATGTCGAAATATTGAATCCCAACACAATGGCGTGCATTTCAATACTTGGAGTATGTATTATACTTTCTTTGATACTTTCTTATGTAAAATGTGGTATTCGTAAACGTGAGATCCAGAGAAGAATCGGTATATTTGAAAAGTATCTGTCTATTAAGTAGGGCTAACTTTTCAAGGAACAAAAGTATTGATTGAGATTTAGATGAATCTGTTTTTGATTGATTGTTTGCCTCATGATAATTCACGAGGTTTTAAAAAATAGAATAAAACTCAATAAAGTTCCTCTGCACGGAAATCTTTAGTAAAAGGCGAAAGATTTATACGTGATGCAGAGAAACTAGAGGAGTTTTATGAGTAGTTTACTCTTAATTTTAAAGGTAAGCGATACTCTAACAACACTATAGTGTTAAAATTTCAAAACATCAGAAAATACATAAGATTTACTCGTGCTTGTACTATAAGTGAATATTAAACAAAGAACGACGAGAACCAAGAGAAACTGAAGAAAAAGCACGACTCGCAGAATAACACTGAGTTGTGTTCAAGTGGTAATTTAGTTTTTCGCGCGTTCTTACACTGCAGCTTTCTCATTGGTTCATATGTGCACCGCTTATTGCGTAACATGATTCCTGATGATGACACAATTAATGTCGAAATATTGAATCCCAACACGATGGCGTGCATTTCAATACTTGGAGTATGTATTATACCTTCTTTGATACTTTCTTATGTAACATGTCGTATTCGTAAACGTGAGATCTTGAGAAGAATCGGTATATTTGAAAAGTATCTGTCTATTAAGTAGGGCTAACTTTTTAAGGAACAAGAATATTGATTAAGATTTAGATGATTCTGTTTTTGATTGATTGTTTGCCTCATGATAATTCACAAGGTTTTAAAAAATAGAATAAAACTCAATAAAGTTCCTCTGCACGGAAATCTTTAGTAAAATGCGAAAGATTTATACGTGATGCAGAGAAACCAGAGGTGACTTACCAATAGTTTACTCTTGATTTTAAACGTAATACGCCAACAACACTATGGTGTCGAAATTTCAAAACATCAGAAAATACATATGATTTACTCGCAGAAAACCTGAATAGTTTTAAATTTAGCCCAAGCAGCAATAGACCAATAAATATTAACTTTTATTTCAATAAAACAAGTTTCTGATGAAAGTAATACGATGATTCACAGCTACCAACAATAAGTAGGCCTATGTTAATTAGTTGAGAAATGAAGATATGATTAGAAATTACACACAGTAAGATTCTATTTAACCTTACACGTGTAAAATGTTTTATTTTAAACCAAAAATAAAAATAACATTAGGCCTATATTTATTTATATAATATACTAGCATTTATTTGTGCATTAATTTTTTTAAAATTCTCCTGCAACAATTAGAAAACGTCTCTTACAGAAATGAAACCTAACTTTCTGTGCACCGAATTCAACTCTTGTACTTGTACTATAAGTGAGTATTAAACAAAGAACGACGAAAACCAAGAGAAACTGAAGGAAAAGCACGACACGCAGAACAACACTGAGTTGTGTTCAAGTGACAATTTTGTTTTTCGCGCGTTCTTTACACTGCGGCTTTCTCATTGGTTCATATGTGCGCTTATTGCGTAACATGAATCCTGATGATGGCACAATTAATGTCGAAATATTGAATCCCAACACGATGGCGTGAGATCTTGAGAATAATCGGTATATTTCAAAAATATGTCTATTAAGTAGGGCTAACTTTTCAAGGAACAAATGTATTGATTAAGATTTAGATGATTCTGTTTTTGATTGATTATTTTTCTCATGATAATTCACGAGGTTTTAAAAAATAGAATAAACTCAATAAAGTTCCTCTGCACGGAAATCTTTAGTAAAAGGCGAAAGATTTATACGTGATGCAGAGAAACCAGAGGTGACTTACCAATAGTTTACTCTTGATTTTAAAGGTAAGCAATGCGCCAACAACACCATGGTTTCGAAATTTCAAAATATCAGAAAATATATACGATTTACTCGCAGAAAACCTGAATAAATTTTAATTAAGCCCAAGCATCAATAGACCAATAAATATTAACTTTTATTTCAATAAAACAAGTTTCTGATGAAAGTAATATGATGATTCACAGCTACACTATCGACAATAAGTATGTTAATTATTTGAGAAATGATTAGAAATTACACACAATAAGATTCTATTTAACCTTACACGTGGAAAATGTTTTATTTTAAACCAAAAATAAAAGTAACATTAGGTCTATATACCTTTATATATTTATATAATATACTAGCATTTATTTGTGCATTAATTTTATTTTTAATTCTTGTGCAACAATTAGAAAACGTTTCTTACAGAATGAAACCGAACTTTCTGTGCAACGAAATCAACACTTGTGGGCCTACTTGTAATATAAGCGAATATTAAACAAAGAACGACGAGAACCAAGAGAAACGGAAGGAAAAGCACGATACGCAGAACAACACTGAGTTGTGTTCAAGTGATATTTTGTTTTTCGTGCGTATTTACACTGCAGCTTTCTCATTGGTACACGTGTGCGCTTATTGCGTAACATGATTCCTGATGATGACGCAATTAATGTCGAAATATTGAATCCCAACACGATGGCGTGCATTTTAATACTTGGAGTATGTAGGCTTATTATACTTTGATACTTTCTTATACTTTCTTGCGTAACATGTCATATTTGTAAACGTGAAATCTTAAGAAGAGTCGGTATATTTCAAAAATATGTCTATTAAGTAGGGCTAACATTTCAAGGAACAAAAGTATTGATTAAGATTTGGATGATTCTGTTTTTGATTGATTGTTTGCCTCATGATAATTCACGAGGTTTTAAAAAATAGAATAAA